GGGGAAAAAAAGAAAGGGGGAAGGGAGGAAAGAAGCAGGGGGAAGGAAGGGAGGAAGAAAACTGTTCCCACACAGGGCAGGCTTCTGGAAATAAAAGGCCCTTTGGTTCATGCTTCTTTAAATGTTGAATTCTTTGATATGCAGCAAAACCCACGCTAATAGTAAAGTCGATCTTCTCTTCCCCTTTAGGAGAGGACATCAAAGAGCTGTTTCTTGACATAGCTCTCTTCACTAAAGGATCGTCCATTTTGAATTTCTCCTATCCCATCTGTGAGGAGGATCTACCCAAGTTTTCTTTCTGTGGAAGAAGGAAAGGGGGTAAGTTGTCTGCCTTGCTGACTGCTCGCTGAGGTCGAGAGAGGGATGAACCACGGCTTCCAGTTGAGGCCAGAGCCCCGGTTCTGCCCCTCACCTTTGGACCAGCTTAACCTTGCTTATCTGCATGTGTCCTATAAAAATAACCATGAAGCCCCTTTCACACAACCTACCTTATATAGTGAGTATAAAAACCAAGTGAAACATGCCTATGAGACACTTTACAAACAGAAAAATGTTACTGTTCATTGTGGCACCTTGTAAAAAAAGAAAAAGAAAAAGAAAAGAGGCTTTCATCAGAAAGAACCAAGAGCTTCCCCAAATCCACTGAGATTCAAAGTATCTCCAGGTTTCTCCTCAGTGATCTCTTTAGTGACAGGGTCTCCTTGATATGGCAATGGACTCTGAAAAAAAGAAAAAGAAAAGTGAAGCTTTCTAAATGTCACTGTTGTATTGTGTTCTTTCCCAGTTGAGTCATTGACTGACGGGGGCATTAGGTAGCTAGATTCAAAGTACACAGCATAAAACCATAACCATCTGCTCCTTATTCCAAATCACTAACTGCCTACCTCCCTGCTGTACATACCCCAAGGAGCACAAGAACCCAATTCCAGGCAGTCTGCACCTCCCTCTGAGTCTTGTCCTCCCCCAACATCTTCACCACGGCCCTGAGATGCATCTGTTTATTTAACTAAAACATTGATGTGATCTCTGACCGTCCTCCTGGAAGTCACTCTCCTCTTCCTTCCCAGGACATCCTTCCCTGCCCCAGTGGCCAAGGGGGAGTGCACCCTTAACCCCACACACCAGAAACCTCCACTTGTTTATTTCCTCATTCAAGGAAGCCAGAGTATAATCACCCAATTATGCTTTCCAAACAAAGAATCTAGAAGAAATTGGGGCTCCATTCCCATAACAAAGAGGTGCAGACAGAGGAAGTTTGTGCAGGAAAAGGAAACAGGGAATTTAAGAAAGTTGCAGGCCCCCTGAAGCTGAGTGGGCTTTGCTGTGGCACGTAGATGACAGGTGTCCGTTCAGCCCTCCCTCCTCATCCTCTTCTCTGTTCCCCAAAGTGTGGGGTGCACAACTACACTGGCACAATCATTTGTTCCCACTTGTCATCCTTGGTAGATGATGAGCTTCTTGGTCTTTAAGCCCAGGACTTCAAATGTGCCTGCTCCATGGGGAGTACCCAGCACTGCTCACTCCTGCAGACAGAAAGAGCTCACATCAGTTAGCACTTGTGCCAGGCAGGCACTGTCCTAAGAGCTTCACAACCAGTCAGTCATTTACTTTCTACCCCAACCCTATGAGCTAGGACTTTTAACACTCTAATACCGAGCCCAGAGCTAGTGAGGGAGCCATGGCTCGAACCCAGATGAGCTGGCTCCAGGACCCATAATCTTAGTGGCTAAGGAATGAATCAACCAAAGAAGAAACAAGGAACTGTGCCTTTTGGCCAGGACTTTATTTGAAGTCATCATTCAAGAACTCTTTCTGGCCTGGGATCTGACTTTGTTGCAAATAGGGACATTTTTTTCTTCCTAGCTAACCTACCATAGACTGGTGAGTCAGTTTTCCTCTCTGAACTTACTAGAAATATTTTTGATTGATTGGGTGCATTCGTATTGTTCCCCAGCATGGTGAGCTCCTTGTGAGTTGATCCCTCTTCTATAGCCAGTGTCTACAGTTTTATTGGCCTTTATTTTGCTTATCTTTCCCATTTTACCCCCAAATAAGTGTCCTTGCACCCAAGTGTGGAAACAAATATGCTTGGAAGCACTATGAGTTTAGTTAGAAAGAATGCATGCTGTGTCAACTTCATTCGTACTTCCTTCTAGTCCCAGAATTAAGTCTCCCTTGCTCCCTCCTGAATGATAGAAATGGGGTCCGGTCTGATTTTCCTGCCTCCTTACTGCTGGCAGGATAGTCCTCTCAAATACAGATTTGATGAGGCTAGAGAAAGAGGCTACATTCAGCCAAATGAATCATTCCCTCTGGATGTTCCTGGAGTGTCTCATTCCTACTTATCTCAGCTAGAATCATATCCTATCGTGTGTGTTTCTCCCTCCTTAAACTGTGAACTCCTTGAAGGCAGGAATATTTCTTGCTCCCCTCTGTCTCTGGAGACTTGGCAAAGAGAGCCTGACACAGAATAAAGATACAATAAATACTTGTTTTATTGAATTTTTATATGACGGATTGAATGCAATATACCAGCTCATCTTAAAAGCAACTATCTAATGATGTTTATACATACCACTAGGATACAAGTGCATCAAATCCTAGCAAACGGTGAATTATCTTGGCCCTCCATGTTTAATAAAACCTGTTTCCCCCCCATGAATAGTTTTAATAGAATTACTAAAACAGGAGAGATATTGTTCCCCCAAACTGAGATGTCCAATTCAGCTCAGCATCTCAGAAGGCTGGTGCTTGCCTTATCTGAATGCAGCCCTATAGCCATTTTTTTTTTTTTTTTTTTTTTTTGCTTTATTGCTGCAGGGCTAAAACCTGCATAGGCAGCCTGAGAAGCCGGCACTCAGGGAATTGCCAGGAAATTTCATACCGTATAAAACAATCACAAAACTGATATACAAATGCTGCATGAACAAATAATTAGGTAAATTATATAAGCCAGAAAAACTAACATCTTAAATGTAGTGGCTTCTTGGGTTATTACTTTTTGCTTTAACCCACCCACAAACCAATTGCAGGAATGATTCTATGGGAAGCAGTGATTAATTCTAAAACCAGAGTGGGGGGAAGAGCTGAAGCCAATTCAAACCCAAGCACAAGCTGTTGACATATTAAGCAGGAAACAGAGTCCCTCTGGGGTTTGCAGGTCCTTCTTAGCAGAGCAGTGAGAAAACTTGGTGTCTACTGCAGGTGGCACATGAAGGTGTTTGATATCATTTGTTTGATATCATTTCCAAGGCATTAGTATGCATTCCTCAGCTCCCTACACCCTGCTGGCTGTTCTCCAAGCCAGATAAACTACAAAGTGGTTCAGGTTTAGTGAAACTATGTTGATAAAATGTATCCTTTCCTTTTGCATCTTCCCCAGCTGGCTCTAAGGCAAGAGCTCATTTTAGCTTTTATGGTGTGATTAGCCATTTGAGGGCGATAGCCTATGTGTCCAGTTATAGGGGATTGATTAAGCAGATCATTGTTCAGCCAAATGCAGGTTCGATGTCCTCTGCTTTTAAATGATGTTGCAGGAAACTATTAAATTACTTGAAAATATACTCACAAATTTTGTGAAGTGACAAAAAAGCTTGCATGAAAGAGTACTCACTGTTGGATACTGTTTTTAGTAAAACGTGGGTAAGTGTATGCATCATTGAGCTCTGAAATAGCATACACTTAGGTACTAATGGTGGTCAGCCCTGAGTGGTGGAACTACTGATCTTTGTTCTCATCTTTTTGGAAATCTCTTCTGCTTTTGTAATAAATATACAAGGTTATTCTTTTCAATGTGAATGAGCACTGTAGGAAAGAATAGAGAGGATGAATTCTCTTCTTCCTCATCCTCTTTTCAGAAAGAATCAACCTACTTAATAGTCAATGATATTTGGAGTTAGAAAGTTCTGAGTCCAGGTGTGGCATACAATGTCCAAGGATCTTTCAATATTCATTCTGGGTTACTCACTTTCCCCTTTACCCAGCTGTGGGTTCATTGAGAAGGAACCAAAACAGGTCACTGTTTCACTTTGTTCGTTGTTAATGTTCCCTTATTTCCTTTCTTGCCCCTGGTGGCATTGGGTTACGCAGATCCATTGGCTTTACTTGATCTTGATGCTTTCAAAATGGCATCAGTTTTTTAAGAATAAACTGGGATTAAATCGAATGTCCTAATGACCACAACTGATGACTACCCCTAAGGAGAGAACAGTAATGTCAGCAGAAGCTCCATAGCTTTGGGCGGGTCCACAATGTGCCAACTGTGCCCTTACCCCAGTGGATCTCCATCTTGGTTGTACATTAGTTAGACCCACATATGGCTTCTCAGCCATGGAAATGTAGCCAGTCTGCACTGAAAGGAATTATAAATGTAAAGTCCAAACTTGACTTCAAAGACTCAGTATGGAAACAAAGAACGTGAAAGATCTCAACCATTGTTATATTGTTTATATACTGAAAATATAATATTTGTTATGCACTATGTTAAATTAAATTTATAAATACTATACCATATTCTAATTATTTATCAACAATAAAACATTATTATTGACATGTTAAAATTAATTTCACCTTCTTAAACATGGTTACTAAAAACATGTAAAATTATACATGTGAGTGTCATTATAATTTTATTGGACAATGCTCCATTATAATTTCCCTTTACTATTTTGGAGATCCCAACACCCCACACCCCAGACCAGTTAAATCAGCATCCTGAGAGAAGTGACCTCCACCAGGTGATTCCAGTGCTCTGCCAAGGTTGAGGAGTCCTACCTTAGCCCCAGGCAGGCATAGCTCAGTAACAACTCCCATTATCACAGCATCTAATATGCACCAGGAACCTTTGCAGGTATGTTCTATATATTAACCAATTTATGGCTTGCACCAACCTTGTGAAGGATAGAAACTATTGTTATTATCCTCATGTCAGCAGATGAGGAAACAGTCCCAAAGGGGTTAAGAAACTTACCCAAGGTCACAAAACCACCAAGTGGTAGACCTGAATTTCTCTCTCCAGGAAGCTGAACTCCAGGAACTTGCTCTAAACCTTTCTGTTACATATTCTCTTTGAACATCAAGAAGATATTGCTGGAAAAGTATGACTCTTTTCAGCTCTCCACTAGAATTGGAAACAAAGATTTAAAAGATACAACAAAATTATAAGAATCAAATAATCATTTTGGGCTTAATCAGCCGTTATATAAGGTGGTGGTTCCCAAGTGTATTTCTGAGACCAGCAACATCAGCATCATCTCAGGAATTATCAGAAATGTGCATTTTTGGCCATCACCCAAAATTATTAAATTAGAAACTGTAGG